GGTCCTACACCCAATTTAAATACACCAAAAAAATTCCCTAAAAAGTATTGTTTTTTAACCCCATTTTTGTGATTTTTTCGATTTTTACCATAATAATCATGATTCATTCGATTTGTAACCAGTCATGTATTGTAAAAAATTTAATTACAAACATTTTTTTCCTCTTCCATTTTCGCCTAAAATCAACTCTTAAAAAGATACATAATTAAATAGGAAGAAAAATATGACATTTTTCGAATTTTTTTAATATATTGTGCCGCCAAAAGTTAAGCCCACGTTTTTTTTATGCGCATAGAAAAATTTTCATTTCTAGTGATATTTGAAAGCCAAAAAGCCAAAAATCTCCGTTGATATACGATTCACCCAAACCAAAACAGATACCGCCTAATCTATTAAGGTATTAAGGGGGGTTTTTATTATGATAAATAAGAATTTTCTCTTAATTATGGCCAGACTTTTGGTCAAAATAAAATCTTACATAAATTATAAGTCAGTGAATAGAATAATTAAGTCTTGCTTTTCCTGTTTTATTGGAATTCCACGAAATAATCGATAATAATTCGACAGAGGTAGAAGGAAGATAAGTTATCTGTGATAAAAGGCAGAATCCTGGAAAAAGTATCGGTTTTCATTAAATAGAATTCTGCAATTGTATAGTTTCTTTCACTGCCGTGTAGATGGCACTACCGAGAAAGGATAAAAGTGGTTTTTTAAATTACAATACACTGGATTTAATATAATAAAATACAAATATTTTCACTATGGACAAATCCTATTCTGAAATTGTATTTATACAGGGTGATCCGTTAACGGTACAGAGCAAATGTATATAGGAAACTAGACATGCTACGATGATGGGGTAAAGAATATATTCACAAATACTGCCAAAAAAATTGCTTTAAAATCTTTTCAAGTTTGTAACCTCGCCGCTAGAGGGCGCAAGTGCTAAGTTGAAAATACACTTTTTAGATACACTGTTAAACCCTTCACAAGTTTTGTTTGAACTTTTTTTTTTGTTATTACCATAGTAACGCCAGTATGAAGGACGTCATCTTGAAATTTTTAAATTGTCATAACTTCTACATGCCTTAATCGATTTCAATAAACGATGGCTCATTTTAAAGAACTATAAATAAAATTTATTTTTATGATATCGGAATGAAAATATTATTTTCCTGCGCAACGGTAGACGACGCTAATTAGAAAAGTTTTGTAATTGTCTCCGTTTACAAAAAAATTTAATGTAACGATATAGGTTTTTTTCACGGCTTAATTTACTAAGGAAAATAGATACATAAAGCGGAGGTCGGTATCTTTTTTCGTTTTCAAGTTATTGCTAAAATAGTAAAGTTGTGCTAGAACATCTTCCTTTACTTAGTTCTCTAAATAACAGTGACATAGTCCAAGCCAAAGTTAAATTGTAAAACTATACCAAGCTTGTCTTTAAAAAAGTACATGCTATATTTTGAAATGGTTCTGATAACTGCAATATTTCACTTTTTTATTAATTCCAAATATCTGAGTATTTATAAAGATTGTTGTTTCTATAACGAGGCAGGATATGTTTTATGAAAATAGACAACTGAAAAATTATGTTAAATGAAATGTCACAGCTCTTGTTACCTGCAAAATTAATGTTATTTCAACTTTTCAACACCCTTTATCTCTCCAAGCTCTTTCGAATGCCGTTGAGTTTGCTCAAATATCTTTTTTTTTCGTTGAGATATCACATGTTGAAATTTTTAAGTTTATCAGTTTATCAGTCAAACAGTTGATTGCAGTTCAGAAATTTCATAGTCAGAAACCTTCAATACATACGAACTCAAACTCCAAATCCACAAACCCACAAACCCCAAACCCACAATCCCTAAACCCACAAACTCCAATCCCACAAAACCTGAACCTACAAACTCCAAGCTTACAAACCCCAAACCCATCAACTCCAAACCCACAAACCGTACGGGTATGAAGTTTCTGAATTGCAATCGACTGCTTGATGCGGGGGGCGATCCGCTGATGTAATCTTCGTACGTTTGCCCTGGAATCTGTATGTAATCTACGTAATCTTATCTGTAATCTATGTAATCTATCTGTAATCTACGTAATCTTATCTGTAATCCTCGCTGTAATCTATGTAATCAGCTAATGAATTTCGTCGATGTAGTCGTTGTACAACGCCCCCCCCCCTACCTCATTTTCCAAAGAATGCCACAGAAACCTCGACAGAAACCTATATGGTGCGATTGGTGTGTTCCGAAGGGCAATCCGCCAAGGAAAAAACAGACGAAGATTACAAAATTTCTGAAATCTCTTGTAATGTATCTGCAGATTTCAATATCAATTCAAAAAATATTACAAATTTCATATAAATAATCAAGATTACAACACATTTCAGGAGATTTCAGAGTTATTTTAGTAGATTTCAATGATTACTTAAGATTTCAATAGGATTATTAGAAATTAAAAGAATATTTCAAAATTTCTTAATAAGGTTTCAAGGAATACGGGAAGATTACAATAAGTTTTGAATGTCCATTTGAACAAAAATAATTGAATTAACTTCAAATGTCATTCATTTCATTCATTAACAGTAGTACTTTGATTAAGAATTTCCAGTATCAGGCATTTTTTGGGCAAAAATTGTAACATTCTGATTAAGTTTTTTGTTCGAATGAACGTTAAAAACATTTTGTCATGACAAAAATGATAATGCTATTTTGAAAGTAGGTAAGTATTTTCCCAAAAACTAATAAATAAAAAATATATTAAGCTTTTATTAATACTTGCATTTAATACTTTACTTGTATACAGTGTGTTTAAAAAAGACGCGGCAATATTTAAGGGAGTGATTGCTCAGGTCAGTTTATAAAAAAAGTCCTATAAACATAGGTCCGCAAACGCTTCGTTACCGATCTACAGAATGTGAAATTTCATTAAAAAACAGTAAAAATTAAATTTCTCTAAAACGCAGCCCCTTATTATTACCTACTACAAACAACAGTATGTACCACATTTCAAAAATCAATCAAATTTGATAATTTGAATTTCTTTGTTCAATAATTTAAATTTCTCAATTAAAACAACATTGGGTTTAGGTGCGCAATAAAATGTTTTTTATTTTTTTACTCAATAACGGTGTGACGTACGGTGCGTATAATCTGAGGAAAGCTTTCTTCTTCATAATTGAACAAGGAATTAAAAAATTATATTTTTAGAAAAACCAGCGGGGTCCTATTTTTTTCATTAAAAATAGCTAGTCACTGGTAAGACTAAAAAATCGTTTTGTATTGCAAAGTACGCGTCTGCCATAGCTATTGACAGGCCTAAAATTTCATTATAATATCAAGAGGTTTTGGAGAAATTTAATTTTTACTGTTTTTTTAATGAAATTTCAACATTCTGTAGATCGGTAACGAAGCGTTTGCGGACGTATGTTTATAGGAACTTTTTTTTATAAAATGATCTGGGCAATCGCCCCCTTAAATATTGCCGCGTCTTTTTTAAATACACTGTATACAGGTAAAGTATTAAATACAAGTGTTAATAAAAGCTTAAAATATTTCTTATTATTTATTTTTTGGGAAAATGTTTATTTTATGTTACTTCTATTTTTTTATTTTTATTAGTTTATTGGATTATTATATTTTTATCTTTCAATAAAAATATATACTTACCTACTTTCAAAATGGCGTTATCATTTTTGTCATGACAAAAAGTTTTTAACGTTCATTCGAACAAAAACTTAATCAGAATGTTACAATTTTTGCGTAAAAATGATACTGGAAATTCTTAATCAAAGCACTACTGTTAATGAATGAAATGAATGACAGTTGAAGTTAATTCAATTATTTTTGTTCAAATGGACATTCAAAACTTATTGTAATCTTCCCGTATTCCTTGAAATATTATTAAGAAATTTTGAAATCTTCTTTTAATTTCGAATAATCCTATTGAAATCTTAAATAATCATTGAAATCTACTAAAATAACTCTGAAATCTCCTGAAATGTTTTGTAATCGGTTGAAAGATATTGTAATCTTGATTATTTATATGAAATTTGTAATTTTTTTTTAATCGATATTGAAATCTGCAGATACATTACAAGAGATTTCAGAAATGTTGTAATTTTCGTACGTTTTTTCCTTAGCGGATCGCCCCTCGGCTTGATGTCTAAGGGATCCTTACTAAATTTTCGCATATTAAGAAACTTAGAAACTTAAAAAATTTCAACATGTGATATCTCAACGGAAAAAAGATATTCGAGCAAACTCAACGGCATTCGAAGGAGGGAGCCTTGTACTTTTAGATTCAATGTATTGGTTTTTTGAAAAAGAATAGATGGCATTACTACATAACCTCAAATATGACGAAAAACAGTGTTTTTTGCACTTTTAGGTTAGGATATCTCAAAAACCTGACGAGATAGAGCAATTCTGCTGCCAGATTCGGATTCAGCGCACCTAAATCCTTCGGAAATATATATTCAAGATCCTGCTTCCAAAAAAAAGTTTAATTTTGTTGGTCTGTGTAATTATTGTTATAGCAACCTTCATTTCTATTTATCAGGCCCCTGTGACTGAAATATAAAATTATATTTTTTGGAATGCTTGTAACTTCTAAACAAAAACAAATTGGACCTATGTTCACATAAGAAAAAATGTTTAAAATTAAGTTTGTCATAGAGCTTGTAGAACACCCTGTACATTTGGATCACTCTTCATATTTTGGTTGGTTTCGAGATTTACTAACCTTTCGAATGTCACTCTCATTGTCGCGTATTTTATTTGACTTTGATTGATTTTATTTGCAAAACAAAAAAATCTTAGGAATTTGCAAAGTAAATAGAACAAGTAAGAACTGTCGAAACTGATCAATTTAAGATATGTCACAATCATGATAAGTTTAATAAAAAAATATGTATCTTAATGAATTCCACTAACGCACAGATAATAAATGACTAATTAAATTATGGGAGTGGTAAAATAATAATATAAACTCTGTTTGGGTGGGAACATATTTTTTATATTAAAAATAAAGCTTGGGTTTTTGGAGTTAAGTTTATATAATATACATTTCGTCGAAGACAACCATTAGACAGAAAAGTATTCCTTAGTATTTAAATGCCGCCGTTCTGTTGGATCCAGTTTCTGAAGGAGCTGATCCTGGCAAAGACAGATGGGTGTCCCACAGCGCAGTCCTCAGCACCGAACGACACGATGCCCACTTGGACATCGTTAACCACCAATGGGCCACCAGAGTCGCCGTTGCAAGAACCGACGGTATCTGAAAAAAAAAATAGGATTTAGCACGCTCTTCCCAATGTCATGTTCCTTTAAGTGGGATAACTCACTGGATCCAGAGCGTCCAGCGGTACAGATGCTCGAAGCTACCACGTTATTGCCATAGGATTGAGCACATACTGCGTTGGTGATGATGGGGAGGTTCACACCGCGCAAAACGGCAGACACTGCGTTGGAAGCGTCGGAGGTCCTTCCCCATCCTGCCAGGAAACCGGTTGATCCTGCGAAAGTACCGGAATTGGCAGGAGCCAGAGAAATGAGTTGGATGTTGTTGTTGAGGGATACAGCGGAAGGCAGGAAGATAACGGCGACGTCGTTGGCAGCGAAGCTACCTACATTGTAAGAGGCATGGTTGACGACGCTGCTGCTGGTAAGGCGCACCTGGGTGGCTTCGTTGGAGTTGAAGGCGTGAGCTCCAAGTCTGACATTGACGAAAGAGGCACTGGAAAATGATACAAAAGCTGTAGTCCAGTCATTCTGTACATTTGGAAAAGAAAGTGAACCGGGAAAGCCAAATTTTGTATATGTTGTGGGGGTGCTTAGAAAAGCTTAACATGAGATTTGAGACAAAGATTTCCTATGTGCATTTTCCGCCATCTTGGAAAAATGGGTGAATTTTTGTTTTTGCTATAAATCGGTTCCCCGTCGAGACATAGAATTGTTGTTTTATTATTTTTTGTTCCTCTTTCGACGACCTACAATTTAGGTCCTATAAACTTTTCACCTATCATTATTATTTGTTGAGATATATAACAAAATAGATAAAAATTCAAAGATTCGTTCTGGTTTTTCGGAGTTTTCTCTTTTTCCGTGCGAGGTTTTTATTTTATAACTCGCGCGGTTTTATAGATACGTTGTAATGAATTCGAAATAAAGAACTAACACAGTGAGATTATGTTTCACACGTACAAAATTTATTATACAAGAATGTTTTCGTATTGAAATTGAAGGGTTCACAGTCCCTCTGTTGAGGATACTTTTCGATACGTGGAGATTCTTCGACCATATTTTCTCCGACTGTTGAATCATCTTCGGAATCTAATTCGTTGTGCGAAAGACAAAAGAAATGTATATATTCGAAAATCGGGAAAAGGAAATACACCAGGGAAACTTTACTCTCCAACTAGTATGAATCATAATAAATCCGTTGTCGAAAACATATTTTTCATTCATGCAATCAGCGGTTGCGATACCAACTCATCTTTGTTCAGCATTGGCAAATCGAAATTCATCAGCATATTGGAAAAACATACGGAACTCCTATCATCGGTTGATTTATTGAAACGAGAACATGTCGATCCGGAGGATCTGACATCCACGGGAGAACGATTTCTCATTGCCCTATATGGCGGTGAGAACAACAGCAAAAACATTAATGCGCTACGATATCAACGCTACGCAAATTCTATCACCAGAAATAGATTCAACCTATCATTCACTCTCCCACCAACAAGAAGCGTAGCACGACAACACATATTCCGCACGTATCATCAGGTACAAACTTGGCTTGGGTTTTACAAGGATCCGGAGGAATGGCGTTGACGACCTAAGTTTAGAGGCAATTATTAATACGGTTGAACCTGCGCCACCCGAGCTTTTGAAGCTAATGTCTGTAAGGAAAAATGCGGAACTGCTTGTGGGTGCAGAAGAGCTGTCATTGCATGTTCAATCATTTGCCTGAACTACAGTGGATAAACATGCAAAAACGTTGCCGAAGTCGATGTCCTGATCTGTGACAACGAATTAGATTCCGAAGATGATTCAACAGTCGGTCGAAAATATGGTCGAAGAATCTCCACAAGTATCCTCAACAGAGGGACTGTGAACCAGGGCTGTCGAAGCGAAGAAAGACGCAGATACTTCTTCAATACCAAAACATTCTTGTATAATAAATTTCGTACGTGTGAAACATAATCTCATTGTGTTAATTCTTTATATCGAATTCATTACAACGTATCTATAAAACCGCGCGAGTTATAAAATAAAAACCTCGCATGGACTTGTCGACTTCACGACACGATAGAACCCGAAATTATTACCCTAGAGAAGGAACAAAAGTATTAAACTGTTCGTACAAATATCCTCTACAAGTTTGATAATATACATTTTTTCGATAAGTATTAAGGAAAAAGAGAAAACCCCGAAAAACCAGATCGAATCTTTGAATTTTTATCTATTTTATTATATATCTCAAGAAATAATAATGATAGGTGAAAAGTTTATAGGACTTAAATTGTAGATCGTCGAAAGAGAAATAAAAAAATAATAACAACAAATCTCTATCTCGACGAAGAACCGAGTTATCGCGAAAACCATAATTTTACCGCTTTCTCTAAGTTGGCGGCGCGCGGACGGAAAAATGGAAACTTCGCACGGACTTGCCGACTTCGCGGCGCGATAAAACATGAAATTATTATTACCCTTGAGAAAAAACGAAGACACCAAATTGTTCGGACAAACATCACCTACAAGTTTTATAATAAACATGTTTTCGATAAGTATTAAGGAAAAAAAAAACCCGAGAACCAGATCGAATCTTTGATTTTTTATCAATTTTGTTCGATATCTCAACAACTAACAATAATAGGTGAAAAGTTTATAGGACCTAAATTGTAGGTCGTCGAAAGAGGAACAAAAAATAATAAAACAACAATTCTGTGTCTCGACGGGGAACCGAGTTATAGCAAAAACAAAAATTCACCCCTTTTTCCAAGATGGCGGAAAATGCACATAGGAAATCTTAGTCTCAAATCTCAAGTTAAGGGCCCCATATTCTTTAAATAGTGTTTTCCGCAAAGACAAATAATTTCAAACATTTAATAACTAAATAATCTAAAGCTTATCAAATAATAGGAATGTTATGTCATGCCACCTGAGTATTTTCAAAGACGCCGCAGTAAAACGAATAAACAGGTGCAAAAAACGATCAAACCATCAAGGTTTTAGGTACTGAAATCTACGAAAATACTAACTTTATATATATATAATTCCACATGTAAATATTCTTATAACATTTACTTGCTTAGTCCTACATATAAAATTGTTTAATTTTATTTATAAGTACGTGAAAATAATTCTTAAAATGTGGGGTTAGGATAACAGAAAACGCATGTTTTACAAACGCTTTTTTTCAGTTATTATTTTATTTGGGTAAATTTAAATGGTAACAATGAATAAACAAAACATCAAGGATTTTATTTTTGTGCATACTTTTGTTCTACACGTTTTAATTTTCAAGATTTCAGTACCTAAAAATGCCAGAAATTTCACCATTTCTCAGCCAGGGATATGGCCACCTTAAGCTCTTCTAAGCACCCCCCACAACATATAAAAAAATTGGCTTTCCCGGCTCACTTTCTTCGCTTATTTTTGAACAGAATGACTGGAGTACTAAACTTACCGAAAACCGATCTAGATTGAAATTTTGATAGTTTTGGAGATGATTTCCACATCAAGGCAACTTACCTGACGGTACAATGAGCGGCAGTCAAGACACGTGTAGTGGAGATCAAGGAACCACCGCACAAACTAACGCCGTTGATGACGACAGCCGCTTGATATGGAACAGAATTGCGGGCTACTTCAGTACCCCCGATGACTCTGCCTTCGGGAATAGTGGATGGGTCTATGGGAGTTTCTGGTTCCAGATAAATGTTGTTCGGGACGATCTTAGACAAATCAAGCTGAAATAATTTTTAGATAAATTATTCCCTTCATGAAGTCAAAAGTCATCAATAATTTTGTAGGATAAATTAAAAAGAAAATTGTATTACTTACCTCATCAGGTGTTTCAAAAGAGACTTCTGCGGGCATAGCCGCAGCGCAAGAGACGACTGCCAATAAACACACCGCGAACTTCATCTTCGTAGAAACCTCTGCACTTAGATGTAAGTCTCTTGGTGGGTTTGACTTTTATACTCGATCGAATTTTATCTAATATGAATTCCCGTAGAAGCTTGTTATCTTCAATGTATTAGCTAAGTGACTTTTCTGGATTTAAACAAATCCTCATCGACTTTATTTTTAACACAAAATATTTGGGGAAAATATTTTGCTATAATTATTTTCAACATATACAAACTGCAAAAGTAATTATAGTAATTGTCAAAGACTACTTAATTGGCATTCTTTGCTTTTAAACATTTCCAATTACATAATTTAATTACATGCAAAAAAAATAAAATTAAAAATTTGCACAAATGTAAACCTAGTGCTAAATAAAAAACGAACAAATGAATACAACGAATCACCCAATTTTGTCGATTTGAATTTTATCGTTGGTTACTTCAACAACATGCACAAAATGGTAGATTCATTTGGCTTGTCGTGTGGTCTCATGAAGCCTGTTTTACTAGGGACGGCATAAATAATAATAATCGTAATAACGTTTCAATGCCAACGTTGGGGTAGCATTTTCAACAATGATTTACTGCCTGTACTTCTTTTAAATGATCGTTTGAATGCAGATCTGTATAAACCTTTCTTGGAAAACAACGTTTTTGGTTTGATTGATGATGTAGGGCTTAATATTGTTCGAAATATTAGCACAGTCATTGAAGCTTTTCACCTCCGAAATCTTTGAAACTGAACCGATCGACTTGAAATTTGGCAGACAGTTAGAGAAAAGGCCAATGAACATTAGTGACACAGCAACGATTGACGCTTCCACCCTGTTGGGGGTGGAATTTTTTTTTCAAAAAGAGATAATCAAATTTTGAGCAAAAAATATTCGAAGAATTTTTTCGAGAAATCAATAGTATTTTAGTTATTCACGATTGAAAACTTTAAATTTTTTAGTGAAAAAAAAAACACTTTTTCAAGGAATTTTTCGCGAATAATTCAAAAACCACCCATTTTATAAAAAAAAGTATAATGGACAAAAATGTAGCTTATAAATAAACAAAGAAAATCGTTTTTTAAAGTGTTGTACGTCCTATACAAAGCGAAATATGGTTAGTGGAAGGGGACTTGTTTTGGGGGAATACTTGAATCGATGTATTCAACGTCAAATAACGGAAAAAGGATCAATTTTACGTGTATAACGCTCCTGGAGACTTTTGTAGTACTCAAAAAGACCTTCAATATAAGTACTTATAAAAGTTAATTAGAGCAAAATTGAAGGAGTTATCGTCAAAAACAGATGGGTTGCTCATATTTAAAAAAAAAATGAACTGTAAACGCTGTACCATTTCCATCAGAATTAATATTAATCGTGGACTCTTTGCAATTAGTTTTGTTTTAGTGTTTTTCATACGATCCTGAAGTTAGACCGGTTTAGAATGCGTATTTTTTTTAATAATGTACGGTAAAAGTTGAAAACGTATTTTCCATTATTCAAAAAAAAATTGCCTTATTTATATAATAACTCTGATTGTGAAACTATGAAAGATACGTAAAAAATGATAGAAATGTAGCTTTTTTTCAACAAATATTTTGATTTTTTTTATTCCTATAGCATAAAAAATAAAGGAGATATCGCCGCTTGAAGTATCCATTTTAGTGAATGACCTGTCTCGAGCCCTTCGATCCTTTCCCTTTAAAAAACGAAGGACTTAAAAGGTTTTATATGCAAACGATCTTATAGCTTTTGAAAATTAACCTAGTTATGGTAAAAAAAACCGACATTTTTTCGGAGCAAAATAGGTTTTCTCATTTTTATATATTATATTATATTTTACAAATAAAATAAGTAAAAAAATTTAGTATGATATGCAGCGTAGCAATTTTTTTATGATTGATTATATTTAAAAGTCGATTATAATAAAAATATTTTACATTAATATTGGTAAAAGGGTAGTTTATAACAGTTGAAAATGGCAAAAGTAAAATATTCTTTCATAAACAATATAAGGGAATTTTTATTTTAAATTATTGCACAATTATAGCATTCCAAGATTTAAAACGTAATTTTTTATAANCTAAATCACCGAGTGAATAATACCCATTATACGGGAGTAGAATACTATACTTTATCCACGACTACTAAATATTTTTGTTGAAGTTTTTTTTGAAATGTTTCGAAAAACATGGTATGTTAAGAAACAGATATACGACTCGCACAAATGAAGTCGCTGATGGCTCAGTGTAGATGCTCTTTCCCTTCCAACCGCGGGTCCCGGGTTCGAATCCGGTCTAGGAAAATTCACTTTTTTAATTTTTTTTTATATGTACAGCACTGAATTGAAAATATTTAGTGGTTTACACGATAAAATTTTAAAAACGGATTGTTTGTAGCAGAACAATATAGTATTATAGCTAAATTAAGGAAGCATCTGACAGTAGTGATTAATGACTCATTAATCACTGCCGTGATTAATGGGTATTATTAAGGTCGAGCAAACAGACGTATAATGGGTACATTATACAATAGTCGTGGATAAATTCATTTATTAGCTATAAGGTAACATTTATTTTAACAATTTCTTGCAATTAGGGGTGGTTTTTACCCATAAAAGACAAAAAGCGTCAATCGGGCCTATGTCACTTTTGAACTTGAGACTAAGATGAGCCTTATTCTAAATTTTCATGCAAATCCATGCAGTTTCAAAGCATTCGGAGGTTACAGCTGATTTTCAGCTTCAATGACTGTACTATATGTGGTATCAGCACGATGGTGCACCACCACATAGAGGGAGACAAGTAACTGCTTGGTTAAACGATCATTTCGCGAATAATTGGATAGGTCAATAGCATGGCCACCACATTCCCCAGATCTAAATCCTTTGGACTTTTATTTATGGGGGCATGAAGCTGCTTGCCTACCATGTTGAAATCACTACCCGTCAACAGTTACTTGAAATAATTCAGAATGCAGCTGACCAGATAAGAAATGATCCAAATGTCATCAGTCGAGTGATGAAATCTTTATATCGCCGACGTGTGGCTTGCATTCGTGCCGAGGATGGACATTTTGAACAATTTTGATAATCTTAAGAGGAAATTTTATATTTTAAAATACTGCAATTATTTTCATATGAGAAAAAATGTTTAAAAGTAACGCAACTATCGTCTGTCAAAGTTTGTCGCAGAGCTTGTTAAAGTTAAAAAGATACAGCAAGTCAAAAATTAGAATTTTTATACACAATTTTTTCGTGCAGGGCTGCACCTACGCCACTGTATTTGTAAATAACAATAGTAAATTATGTGTGCCACCCTGTATGCGATTACTGATCGAAAGATCTTAATCTGTCGGCGTCACAAGAAAGATGTGCTTGTCTGGAGTTAATAATTTATAAGATATTGCTTATAAAAGTTTCAACGAATTTTGTATTAAATGTACTTAATAGTTTTATCACATTAATGAATTTCCTCTGAAAAATATCTACGTAGTAATACTATAATTTATATAGTGTTTGTTATGAGATTTGTTTAAGTGTTACTAAGAACTTTTAGTTCCGATTTTTTTATGTTCGTGATTAGCGACTTTTAAAACCACCGAGTAATAAGTTTCAGCCAAAATCTTCAAATTTTGAATGCTTTCCGATTGTTACATCCGCCATATTGGATCCGGCATCTTTAATTCAGGAATTTTCGTATACGGATTTACATTCGTAACCAGCGACTCCAAAAACCCGCGGTAATAAATTTCAAATAACTTAAAGTCCAATTGTTAAGTGGGCCTTTAGATCGTAATTTTGGTCAACTTGCCTGAATTTTTTATATAAGTTAGTTTGAGATACATAATAATAAATGCCATTGACTCGATATTAGAAAACATTTGCTTTGCCCTATATGCTGATGATCTCTCGTTAGTAATATCGCAAAAAAAATAATAATAAAAATACTGAAGTTTTGCAATCAGTCAACAATTGGTTCAACATGAATGACCCATATTTAAATAGTGAAAAAACTAGGACAATTCGTTTCCATAATATTCAAAAGATTTTTGAATCCTTATCTATAAAGAATGTAAAGATTAATACCTCAAATGTATCACGGAACCAGTAAAATTTCTAGGTATTACACTCGACGAACATATGGATTGGAACCCACATTGTGAAAACTTAGTCAGTTTATTTTTTAAACACATTAAAGACGTCCTAACTAAACATCAATTAATGAACGTATATTATGCTCAAATAGAATCTCGAATACGATATATGGAATTTGTTTATGGGGTGACTCCACCTTATCGCAGACTGTTTTTTTTTTCACAAAAACGTGTGATTAGAACAGGGATGCACAGACTTATAAGGAACAGGGGCCACTCGGGAAAAATATAAGCCAAGGACGGGCCACTACAAACAATATTTATTAACACAAAATTTTTTATTTTTAAATAGTATGAAATACAATGATAAAAATAAAATAACCTTCAAAAATGTTTGTTGTAATAATTATGTAATCATTACAATGTAATATTTCATGTTTTATTATTTTGATGCATGACATTGCATTGAACTAACAAGTTTTTTTATATTTGGCTCCACATTACTTGTAGCCACACGTATAATTGCTTCCAAATTTTCATTTGCCAGACGGTTTCGGTTTTTCGTTTTGTTAAGTTTCATCACTGAAAACGTTTGTTCACAAATATACGTCGATCCAAATAAGCTTGCGCATTTCAATGCATTTATTCGCAACTCTTTATAAGCGTTTTTATCAACGCAACGGTAGAAGTTGAGTAAATTACCTTCATTAAATTTGTTTCTTAAATTATCATCATTTTGCATGTCTATTAATTCCAGCTGCATTAATTCCGGCGCATTTTCGGGTGAAATGTTGAAAGGATTGCTGAAAATGTCCAATAGCGGTTTAACTTTTTTGAAGTCTACAAAACGATTTTCAAAAGCTTGTATCAAAATATCAATTTTTTCAACATGAGCGAAATTGACGTCAGTTTTATTGAACTTCTCCATAATTTTTTTGTAGTTCGGAAAATGGCCGTAATTGGC